CCTCCTCAGCCCCCCGGCTCGCCTACTCACCCCCCCACCACTGCCTGCCCGCTCGCCTCCTCAGCCCCCCGGCTCGCCTACTCACCCCCCCACCACTGCCTGCCCGCTCGCCTCCTCAGCCCCCCTCCCTCACCCGCCGCTTGCCTACTCACACCCCGCTGGCGGCACAGTGACCCCACGCGGGCCGCATGTTGTGCAGGCCTGGTTTAAGGGCTGACAGCTTGAAGCATCCAAAACCAGGCTAAAGCCTGACAGTACCCCTATTGCGGGCTCTTAGCTGTCCTGCGGACTCTAGTCCTGGCCAGACAAGACAAGCCTGAGTGGCCTCCCTCTGAATGGGAGAGCGAGGGACCATTACACCCCCATAGTGGCAAAACGCCTGACTCCACAAAAGGGCCACAAAAATCGGGAGACAGATCAAAACTTAATCTTCCAAGTGAGCACAGCCCAGTGTTGCAGAAGGGAAGAGGGCGGGACTCAGCTGGATGAAGGGTGAACGTGGCAAAAGTTTGTTTCATTTCCTTCTCAGGACACTTTGCTCCCTGCTCATAGGCTCAGGGCAAAACGCCAGCCTGGAAAAGACGCCGAGAGACCATCTGATCGACACCATTAGTGAACTGGGCGAATCGGACTTGAAGATGTTTAAAGACAAGCTGAACAATTTCAAGCCAAAGGAAGGTTATAACCACATAAAATGGAGCCATCTGGAAAAAGCAGACGCTGTAGCAATCACTTGCCTGCATGTCAGTTACTACGAGAAGAATTACACAGTGGAAGTGGCCGGGAAGGTGCTGGAGGACATGGACAAAAAGAACCTGACATGCAAGCTGTCAGAGGCTGCAGGGAAGGGTAAGTGAGGGGCTCTCAAAGGGAGATTGCCCCCTCCCTAAGGGGGATCTTGTCTCGATGGGTCTCCATGTACAGTAACTGACTGCTTGTCAGCCTGCCAAGCAGCAAATCAGCAATGCCCCTGGTTTCCTTTGCACAGTCCCCCAAGGGTAGAACTGTGCAGCCCCTTCTCAGGCAAGACTGCCACTGGGTATCAGGGACCCAAAGGGGTTTAGACCAGAGGTGAAATTGGGCTGGTACGGTGTATCGGTAAAAATTGACCACCAGTATGGGCCAACTAATGAAAAACAGGGATCGGAGTGATGGTCACAGGTTCAAAACAAGGGCTCCGGATGGGGACACCAAGCAGAGGATCCCAGACTCTGCCCGCTGCTCTTCAGAGGGATCTAGGGAGCCAGCGGACGTTGCCCAATGGAACTCTGCCTGGAGGAATGAGACCAGGGAGGACTGGAAATAGGCCCCAAAGTCGCAGAGGCAGCATCCAGCATCCTCCTCCTGGTGTTAGAGATGGTGACCTTGGCCAGGAGGAGGTTGATTAGGAGGTCTCGCGACTTCGTGGGGCCATGGATAGGGTGTGCGAAAATGAACAGATGAGGGGGAAAAGTAGATCCAGAACTTCAACAAGAGGTTCTGTAGGAGCCGGAATAGGGGCTGCAACATGGCGCTCTCGTAGTAGGATGTGCCAGGTTCTCCCTTACACCGCAGAAAGGGCAAGCCTCGAGAATGGGGGTGAACCACGCCAGGTACATATTCATGCTCACAGCTCCGTGAAGGAGCCGCCAACCGATGTCCCTGGTGGGCCGTGGCACCAAGATAGAATAGAGACTGGCCCACCATGGCTCCTCACCCTTTACAGGTGGAAGGTAGTCCTGCCATTTGGTGTCGGGGCAGGACACGAGGGTGAGGAAATGCAGTGTGTGGAGCACAAGCATGTACAGTTGGTCCATGGGCGTGGTCCAGAAGCGAACCGGCTGCAGGCTACGCAGCTGGCTAGGATTGTGAAAGGGCAGGTGCTGGGGGGGCTCGCGGAACAGGGGCCCTCTAAAATGGTCCAAAGGGGCCAGGGTGAGGGGTGGCCAAGGGGGCCCTGCGAGACGGTACTACCGCAGGAAGACCAGAGAAGGGGGCTGTCAGGATTCTCTCCCTACTCTGAACTCTGGGCTACAGATGTGGGGACCCGCATGAAAGACCCCCTAAGCTTATTTCTACCAGATTAGGTTAAAATCTTCCCCAAGGCACAAATCCTTTCCTTGTCCTTGGACGGTATTACTGCCACCACGAAATGATTTAGAAAAAGATTCAGGAAAAGGACCACTTGGAGTTCCTATTTCCCCAAAATGTCCCTCCAAGCCCCTTCACCCCCTTACCTGGGAAGACTTGAGAATAATATACCAACCAATAGGTTAACAAAGTGAGCACAGACCAGACCCTTTGGTTTTTAGGAAACTAAAAACCAATCAGGTTCTTAAAAAGAAGAATTTTATTATAAAGAAAAAAGTAAAGGAAGCACATCTGTAAAATCAGGATGGAAGGTAATTTCACAGGGTAATAAACATATTTAAAACACAGAGTATTCCCCTCTAGGCTGAACTTCAAAGTTACAAAAAAAGGAATAAACCTCCTTCTTAGCATAGGGAAAATCCACAAGCTAAAACAAAAGATAATCTAACACATTTCCTTGCCTTTACTTACAATTTCTGTAATGTTAGATGGATCATTTCAGTAGGAGCTGGATTACCTGCTTGGTCTCCCTCTTTGTCCTGAGAGGAAACAACAAAAAGAGCAGGAAACAAAACACCCCTACCCCCAAACCCAGATTTGAAAAGTATCTTGTCTTATTGGTCCTTTTGATCAGGTGCCAACCAAGTTATTTGAGCTTCTTAACCCCTTACAGGTAAAGGAGGGATTTTATGCTATCCTTAGCTGCATGTTTATGACAGGGGTGACAAGGCAGCCCCCACCTCCTGGAGTACACGCAGGGGGGTCAGAAGGGTGGAGAGCCCCATGCGGCGCCCAAGCGCCCGGGTATCCACCCAGTCCTCCCTGTCGTAGTCCAGAAGATCTCCGACCCTGGTGGTTTCTGCCAGGACCAACCTCCGGTACACCGAGGGAGACTCCACCACCTGCATGCGTAGATTAGGGTTGTGTGGCAGGGGCTCTGCAAGGAGGCCCTCCCCCTTGGTGGCCACAAAAGAGCTTCCAGGTCTGGAGGAGGTCCTGGTAGAAGACCAGCAGCTCTGAGAGGTCTTGACTGTCTTGGCCCCATCAGCAGGAGGTTTTGCTTTCCGGGCGGGCCTTTGCCCTTCTTGTTCCCCTGGCCCTTATTGCTGGTGGAAGGTGAGGACATGGCAGCGGCGGATCTGGACCAGTGACAGTCGAGAGGTCAGCCGCAGGGACGGGCAGGGGTGATGGCAACGGGGGGACCATGGGGTCAGCAGGGGCAGGGTCCTCCTCCATGTTAGCAAGGGGCAGGAGAAGGCATTGATATGGGGGTGGGGTGAGAGGCAGCCACTCCTCCCCACTAAGCCACACGCAGGGGAGGAGGGTCCAGTGGGAGGGGCGGGGGGATGGGGAAGAGGGAACGGGGCTAAGCATGCCTCCCCACTAGGCTGCAGGCAGGGAAGGAGGGTGCCAGCGGTGGGGGATGCAGGGGCGAAATGGGAGGCACAGTTATGGGGTAGGGATACTGGCTCCTCCAGCTGCACTGAGAAGGGTAGGAACTACAATATCATCAGGAGGGCTGTGAACAGTGGAGGGGACAACTGAAAGTGGGTACAAACGCTTGGGGGGTGCAACAGGCGCACAGATAAGAGGGGCTGAGCTGGGTGGGCAAGGGAAGGTAGGGGAAAGGGGGGGCAGGCAAATCACAGGAGGCAGCTGCAAGTGTAAGGGCGGGGTGGGAAACCAAACCAAAACACCAACCTTTGGGGCGGGGCAGGTAGCAAATACCAAAGGGCTGGGGCGGGGCAGGCAAATTAACAGAAAGGAAAACTCCCAGAGGGTCAAAGTGAAAATGTGGGGGGTGGGTGGGAACAAAGGGACAGCAAGAGGTGGGCGGGGCAGGCTGCAGGGGGGAGGGGCAAACTAAGGCAGGTAGGCTGGGAGTCACAGGAGAGAGAGGGCCCCACCAGTCAAACGCAGCTGGGGGTGGGAGGGTAAGTCCAAGGTGGGGAGGCACATGTGCCCACATGCACCTGTGTTGCTCAGTCCTTGCTGCTCACTGCTGCAAACAGTCCCAGGGGGTGAAAGCGGGGAAACAGACAGCCATGTCGAGGGGCAAAGAGCATGTCCAGTTGGTAATTGGGATGGTGGAGGGGGCGGTGGTGGTGAGCAGATGGGAGAGGGGGAGGGCTCCACACATCTCCCCCTTGCTCCCCAGAAGAGCAATAGAAGTTCCCACCACTCCAGGAGCAGAGATGTTCAAAGTCAGTCAGTTTGTGAACAAACCCCCTCCACAATGTCCCTCAGCAGGAATCCTCCTCTTCCTCCTCCTCGTCGGCAGCAGTGACTCCAACGCAGCAGTCAGCCAGCCAGGCAGGAGGGACCCGTAGGTGGTGGCGGGGTCCTTGTTTCTCCCTCCAGAGGCAGAGGGGGGGGGGCAGGCCGGCAATGGCCCCCCACACCCAGCAGCAGCAGACCAGGAAGGGAGCTCTAGCCAGCAGCAGTCCTCCAGGGAAGAAGGGAGCTTCAGCCAGCAGGACAGCCACAGCAGACTAACCAGTCCCTGTAATGAGGTGAGTGGGCTCCCTCCGAGCCGGAGAGCGAGGGACCATTACACCCCCATAGCGGCAAAACGCCTGACTCCACAAAGGGGCCACAAAAATGGGGGGACAGATCAAAACTGTTAATCTTCCAAGTGAGCCCAGCCCAGTGTCGCAGAAGGGAAGAGGGCAGGACTTCAGCTGGATGAAGGGTGAAGGTGGCAAAAGTTTGTTTCACTTCCTTCTCGGGACACTTTGCTCTCTGCCCGTAGCCTCGGGGCAAAGAGCCAGCCTGGAAAAGACGCCGAGAGACCATCTGATCGACACCATTAGTGAACTGGGCGAATCGGACTTGAAGATGTTTAAAGACAAGCTGAACAATTTCCAGCCCAAGGAAGGTTATAACCACATAAAATGGAGTCAGCTGGAAAAAGCAGAAGCTGTAGAAATCACTCACCTGCTGGTCAGTTACTACGATGACGATTACGGGGTGGAAGTGGCCGGGAAGGTGCTGGACGCCATGGACAAGAAGAACCTGGCACGCAAGCTGTCAGAGGCCGCAGGGAAGGGTAAGTGAGGGGCTCTCAAAGGGAGATTGCCCCCTCCCTAAGGGGGATCTTGTCTCGATGGGTCTCCATGTACAGGAACTGACTGCTTGTCAGCCTGCCAAGCAGCAAATCAGCAATGCCCTGGTTTCCTTTGCACATCCCCCAAGGGCAGAATTGTGCAGGCCCTTCTCAGGCAAGACTGCCACTGGGTATCAGGGACCCAAAGGGGTTTAGACCAGAGGTGAAACTGGGCCGGTACGGTGTACCGGTAAGAAGTGACCGCCAGTATGGGCCAACTAATGAAAAACAGGGATCGGCGTGATAGTCACAGGTTGAAAACAAGGGCTCCGGATGGGGACGCCGAGCGGAGGATCCCAGACAGTGCCCACTGCTCCTCAGAGGCATAGGGAGCCAGCGGACGCTGCCCAGTGGAACTCTGCCTGGAGGCGTGAGACCAGGGAGGACTGGAATTAGGCCCCAAAGTCGCAGAGCACCCTCTTGTCCAGCATCCTCCTGCTGGTTTTATAGATGGTGACCATGGCCAGGAGGAGGTTGACGAGGAGGTCTCGTGACTTCGTAGGGCCATGGATCGGGTGTGCGAAAATGAACAGATGAGGGGGAAAAGTGCAGCCAGAACCTCAACAAGAGGTTCTGGAGGAGCCGGAATAGGGGCTGCAACATGGCGCACAGAAGGTTGTCATGCACCAGGTTCTCCCTTATGCCGCAGAAGGGGCAGGCCTCGGGAATGGGGGTGAACCGCACCAGGTACACGCCCATGCTCAAGGCTCCGTGAAGGAACCGTGGGACGAAGGAAGAATAGAGACTGGCCCACCGGGGCTCCTCCCCCTCCACAGGTGGAAGGTAGTCCTGCCATTTGGTGTCGGGGCGGGACACGAGGGTGAGGAAATGCAGTGTGTGGAGCACCCCCACTGAATGTTAGTAAGGGGACAACAGTCCCCTTATATAAGGATACCGGCTCATCCAGCTGCACTGAGAAGGGTAGGAACTACAATATCATCAGGAGGGCTGTGAACAGTGGGGGGAACAATTGAAAGGGGGCACAAGCACTTGGGGGGTGCAACGGGCGCACAGGTACGAGGGGCTGAGCTGGGGGGGCAAGGGAAGGTAGGGAAAAGGGGGGGGGCAGGCAAATCATAGGAGGGATCTGGAAGTGTAAGGATGGGGCGGGCAACCAAACCAAAACCCCAACATTTGGGGTGGGGCAGGTGGTGGTGGTGGTGAGCAGATGGGCGAGGGGGAGGGCTCCACATGTCTCCCTCTCGCTCCCCACAAAAGCAATAGAAGTTCCCACCACTCCAGGAGCAGAGATGTTCAAAGTCAGTCAGTTTGTGAACAAACCCCCTCCACAATGTCCCTCAGCAGGAATCCTCCTCTTCCTCCTCCTCGACCGCAACAGTGACTCCAACGCAGCAGTCAGCCAGCCAGGCAGGAGGGACCCGTAGGTGGTGGTGGGGTCCTTGTTTCTCCCTCCAGAGGCAGAGGGGGGGCAGGCCGGCAATGGCCCCCCACACCCAGCAGCAGCAGACCAGGAAGGGAGCTCTAGCCAGCAGCAGTCCTCCAGGGAAGAAGGGAGCTTCAGCCAGCAGGACAGCCACAGCAGACTAACCAGTCCCTGTAATGAGGTGAGTGGGCTCCCTCCGAGCCGGAGAGCGAGGGACCATTACACCCCCATAGTGGCAACAAAATTGGGAGACAGATCAATACTGTTAGTCTTCCAACTGAGCACAGCCCAGTGTTGCAGAAGGGAAGAGGGCGGGACCAGTAGCGTAGCTAGTGGGGTGCAGGGGAAGCAGTCGCTTCCCCCGCCTTTCCAAAAGCGGCCGGAGGAGATTGGGGGGGTGCAGGCTGGCAGCCGGCCGCCATGGGGGGGCGGCGGGCACGGCCGGAGAAGCGGGGGGCACGGCCAGAGGAGCGGGGGGCACAGCATGCGGCCCGCAGCGCGGTTGGCAGCCGCAGCAGGGGGAGCGAGGGGAGGGTCATGGGGATGGCACGGCAGGGCCGGAGGAGCCATGGACGGGGGAGGGGCAGTGCGACCGGAGGAGGAGCCAACGTGGGCGTGGCCACAGGAGGAGCCAAGGGGGGGGCGCTTTTTTTATGTTTGCTTCCCCTCCTCTTAGAAGCTGGCTACGCCACTGGGCGGGACTCAGGTGGATGAAGGGTGAAGGTGGCAAAAGTTTGTTTCACTTCCTTCTCGGGACACTTTGCTCTCTGCCCGTAGCCTCGGGGCAAAGAGCCAGCCTGGAAAAGACGCCGAGAGACCATCTGATCGACACCATTAGTGAACTGGGCGAATCGGACTTGAAGATGTTTAAAGACAAGCTGAACAATTTCCAGCCCAAGGAAGGTTATAACCGTATCAAATGGAGCCAGCTGGAAAAAGCAGAAGCTGTAGAAATCACTCACCTGCTGGTCAGTTACTACGATGACGATTACGCGGTGGAAGTGGCCGGGAAGGTGCTGGACGCCATGGACAAGAAGAACCTGGCACGCAAGCTGTCAGAGGCCGCAGGGAAGGGTAAGTGAGGGGCTCTCAAAGGGAGATTGCCCACTCCCTAAGGGGGATCTTGTCTCGATGGGTCTCCATGTACAGGAACTGACTGCTTGTCAGCCTGCCAAGCAGCAAATCAGCAATGCCCCTGGTTTCCTTTGCACAGTCCCCCAAGGGCAGAATTGTGCAGCCCCTTCTCAGGCAAGACTGCCACTGGGTATCCGGGATCCAAAGGGGTTTAGACCAGAGGTGAAACTGGGCCGGTACGGTGTACCGGTAAAAAGTGACTGCCAGTATGGGCCAACTAATGGAAAAACAGGGATCGGCGTGATAGTCACAGGTTCAAAACAAGGGCTCCGGATGGGGACACCGAGTGGAGGATCCCAGACAGTGCCCACTGCTCCTCAGAGGCATAGGGAGCCAGCAGACGCTGCCCAGTGGAACTCTGCCTGGAGGCGTGAGACCAGGGAGGACTGGAATTAGGCCCCAAAGTCGCAGAGCACCCCCTCGTCCAGCATCCTCCTGCTGGTTTTATAGATGGTGACCTTGGCCAGGAGGAGGTTGACGAGGAGGTCTCGCGACTTCATGGGGCCACAGATCGGGTGTGCGAAAATGAACAGATGAGGGGGAAAAGTGCAGCCAGAACCTCAACAAGAGGTCCTGGAGGAGCCGGAATAGGAGCTGCAACATGGCGCACTGAAGGTTGTCGTGCGCCAGGTTCTCCCTTATGCCGCAGAAGGGGCAGGCCTCGGGAATAGGGGTGAACCGCGCCAGATACACGCCCATGCTCACGGCTCCGTGAAGGAACCGCCAACCGATGTCCCCGGCGGGCCGTGTGACCAAGGAAGAATAGAGACTGGCCCACCGGGGCTCCTCACCCTCCACGGATGGAAGGTAGTCCCGCCATTTGGTGTCAGGGCGGGACACGAGGGTGAGGAAATACAGTGGGTGGAGCACCCCCACTGAATGTTGGTAAGGGGACAACCGTCCCTTTACATAAGGATACGGGCTCCTCCGGCTGCACTGGGAAGGGTAGGAACTACAATATCATCAGGAGGGCTGTGAACAGTGTGGCGGTGGGGGGGACAATTGAAAGTGGGCACAAGTGCCTGGTGGGTGCAACGGATGCACAGGTACGAGGGGCTGAGCTCTGGGGGCAAGGGAAGGTAGGAGAAAGTGAGGGGGAGGCAAATCACAGGAGGGAGCTGCAAGTGTAAGGACGGGGCGGGGCAGGTGGTGGTGGGGGGAGCAGATGGGCGAGGGGGAGGGCTCCACGCTTCTCCCTCTCGCTCCCCACAAAAGCAATAGAAGTTCCCACCACTCCAGGAGCAGAGATGTTCAAAGTCAGTCAGTTTGTGAACAAACCCCCTCCACAATGTCCCTCAGCAGGAATCCTCCTCTTCCTCCTCCTCGTCAGCAGCAGTGACTCCAACGCAGCAGTCAGCCAGCCAGGCAGGAGGGACCCATAGGTGGTGGGGTCCTTGTTTCTCCCTCCAGAGGCAGAGGGGGGGCAGGCCGGCAATGGCCCCCCACACCCAGCAGCAGCAGACCAGGAAGGGAGCTCTAGCCAGCAGCAGTCCTCCAGGGAAGAAGGGATCTTCAGCCAGCAGGACAGCCACAGCAGACTAACCAGTCCCTGTAATGAGGTGAGTGGGCTCCCTCCGAGCCGGAGAGCGAGGGACCATTACACCCCCATAGTGGCAAAACGCCTGACTCCACAAAGGGGCCACAAAAATCGGGAGACAGATCAAAACTGTTAATCTTCCAAGTGAGCCCAGCCCAGTGTCGCAGAAGGGAAGAGGGCAGGACTTCAGCTGGATGAAGGGTGAAGGTGGCAAAAGTTTGTTTCACTTCCTTCTCGGGACACTTTGCTCTCTGCCCGTAGCCTCGGGGCAAAGAGCCAGCCTGGAAAAGACGCCGAGAGACCATCTGATCGACACCATTAGTGAGCTGGGCGAATCGGACTTGAAGATGTTTAAAGACAAGCTGAACAATTTCAAGCCCAAGCCAGGTTATAACCGTATCAAATGGAGCCAGCTGGAAAAAGCAGAAGCTGTAGAAATCACTCGTCTGCTGGTCAGTTACTACGATGACGATTACGCGGTGGAAGTGGCCGGGAAGGTGCTGGAGGACATGGACAAGAAGAACCTGGCATGCAAGCTGTCAGAGGCCGCAGGGAAGGGTAAGTGAGGGGCTCTCAAAGGGAGATTGCCCCCTCCCTAAGGGGGATCTTGTCTTGATGGGTCTCCATGTACAGGAACTGACTGCTTGTCAGCCTGCCAAGCAGCAAATCAGCAATGCCCCTGGTTTCCTTTGCACATCCCCCAAGGGCAGAATTGTGCAGTCCCTTCTCAGGCAAGACTGCCACTGGGTAGCCGGGATCCAAAGGGGTTTAGACCAGAGGTGAAACTGGGCCGGTACGGTGTACCGGTAAAAAGTGCCCACCAGTATAGGCCCATACACAGCGGACATTAAATCCCAAGGCCGCCGAGGGAGGAGGCAAAGGGGGCAGCAATATTAAAGCACTGCCTCGGCAGCGCTTTAAGGACCCTACTGGCAGGGCCGACCCTAAGGAGGGGGGGGGCGTGGGCGGGCAAACAGGAAAGTTACCACAGGGCCTGGGAATTTAAAAGGGCCTAGGGCTCTTGGCCACCACCGCCTCTCCCACCATGGGTGGCAAGTACTATGGGCCCGTGGTGCCCGGCACCAGGAATATTTGAGGCCAGATCTCTCCCTTTGCCCCACCTTCTGCCCCCAGGTGCTCCCCCCCGACCCATTCCCTGGGCCATTTAAAGCAGCCCAGGGCCTCCACCCACCACCAGCAGCGCAGCGGAGCTGAGTGACTTCCTGCCTGCTCGCTCCACGTGACTGCTGGCCCCTCCCTGAGGCCCCTGGGCGGGGTGGGTCTGTGTCCCGCCCCAAACACCCCTGCGGCCAATAAGACACTGCAGGGTCAGTGCCTGGGGGTAGCAGCACACGGGAGGCCCCCAGAGGCCCCCTGGCCCGCCCTGCCTCGGCGTCCCAGCTAAGTGCCGCACCCTCCCACCACCTCCAAGAGCCTGCACCCCCACCTCTTTCCCACACACCCCTCCCCCCCAACTCCCTCCCAAAGCCTGCACCCCTGCCCCAGCCCAGGGCCTGCACCCCAGAACTCCTCCCCCCACCCAAACTCCCTTCCAGAGCCTTAGGCAGGTCCGGGGGGGGTAGTTTGGGGGCGGATTCTGGGCACCACCAAAATGTCTACAAACCTGCCGCCCCGGCTACAACAGCAGCCGCTGAAGCCCTGGGTCCTTTAAATCCCTGCCAGAGCCCCAGGGAGCACAGGCCGGGCAGTGCTGAAGGGTTGGCTGGGGGAGGCTGAGCCCCCAGTCCCGCCCCTTCTGCCCGAGACCCCACCCCTTCCAGGGGCCCAGAGCCAGGCCCCCTTACCAGTAAGACTTTTAAGTTACTTTCACCCTTGGTTTAGACACCTAACTTCCTGTTCTAGGTCCACAAAGGAACTTAGGGTCTTCCACTGTATCACTGAGGCAACTCCATCCAGACAGGGCCGGGCCAGTAGTTGATGGTTCGCTTGTACCAGCCCAACCCCCATCTCTTCCTTCTCCTTTCCCAGTGGGGATCACGGCTCCACGCTGGGGAATTGTGTATGGGAGAGACACCCATCAGAGAGACATCAAGTTGTTGTTGGGGGGTGAGGGGATGAGAGACACAGAGGGAAAGATCTATTCATCTACAGATAGGAAAAGGTAGGGGTGTTGGAAAGGGAGAGAAGGAGGAATGGGGATGGGGGATAAATAGATGGATGTGGAGTTGTCTCACACCCAGTGGGAGGAGTCCTGGATCCAAGATCTTACTTCATCAGTCCAACAGTGAACCAAACATTCTCCTTTCTATGGGGGAGTTTTTTCTGTTCCTCTTCCCCGCCATTGATTCCTCATTGGAACATTCCCCAACTCAGTTATGGGTCACCCCAAACCTTCTTCTGCTGGCTCCTAAATCCCCGTCCCTG